CTACTACTACTACTACTACTACTACTACTACTACTACTACTACTACTTACTACTACTTACTTCTACTACTACTACTACTACTACCACCACCACAAAAACAACAACCACCTCACCACCCCCAACAGCAGCATTTGGTGCCCATTGCCCGTCGCCCGTGTGCCTCGACATACTGCAGCAATGAATTCAAAGGCCGGGCGATATCGCTGTACCTCCGATACGAATGCATGCTTGGGTAAACTCATCCTAGTGGGGTTCCAGTGTGGAGGGGCGTGTTTCTGCGAAGTTCATGTTGCTGGCGTGGTGTGTGTTGCATCCCTTCGTACAGTGCCCATTGGTGCTTCCATGGAAGTGCAGAGCTCCTTCGTGCGTTCTTTCACTAAGTTCCTCCGAGGTATCCTTGCAAGTTCACATCCATCCCCATAGTGCTGTGGGTGCCGTTGCCCATGGGCCCATCCCTTGAAGCTCTTGAAGCCCGACTGTTCAGCCTCCGGAGGCTGAACAGGTCGGACGGGAACCCTTGTGGAGGTCTTCGAAGGCCTAGAAGCGTTCACACATGCCTATGTTGATACGTAGGAGGTTCCCATTGTCCATCTGGAGGAGAAGGCAACAAATCCCTGAAAAAAGAAACGAAAAAAAAGACTCCCTTCCGACTGACGGATGAACAGTCCAACGGACCATGCCGTGGCTCGGTCATGTACAACTCCTGCCCGGCCATGCCTCTGCCAATCTTTTCTGACTCTGAAACTACCCACCGGTGCGAACCCGATGGGTTTCGGCCATTCGCTTGAACTTGGCCATGAACCACTGTCCGATGGTGCCGGTGTGTTGATCTTGCCCGCTAATTCCTGTTGTTTTTTTGCAGAGAATTCGCAGAGTTTCAAGTGATCAAAGAGAAGTCATCCGGCTGCGTAGGCAGGACGCAGGGGGTTCTCCAAAGAAAAATTATCCCAGCAACCCGACAAAGGTCCTTGGTGGAAACTGATTGAAACGAACCCAGAAGACCAAAACCGATCAAAAAAGGGTCGGTCTGTGCTGTGGTTTCGTGGGGGTTCGGGGCTACTGAAAGAAGACTGTCTGTACCACCCCCCAACTGGAGCCCAAACAGTCCACCATCTAGCGAAAGACCTTCCAGCTAGGTCAACATGGTTCACCCCCTTCATATTCGACACCACTGTGTATGAAGGGGTGCATGGGGAGCGTTCCATCTCGCCGACCTCGTCGTGTCGGCCCACCGGAACATTGACGTCCGGAGGATGAAGAAACGTCAAAGAATGGCCCACCAGGTTGAGAGGTGATCCAAGTAAAGTGGTTCACAGAATGACATGGCATGTTGGCTCGGCGCAGTTCTACATCTACACAGGCCTTGCCGGCCTTGCCGTTCTGGGCATCGCACGTCGGCACCGGCGCACTCGAACGGCGCGGAACTCGCCGGGACCGTCCCTGGCTTTGGCAGGGCCTGCTGGCGCGGAACTCGGGTACCGAGCACTGCCTCCCGGGGCGGTAGAGTCGCGCGTCCCGAAGCCTCCGCGACCGCGGCGCCTTTGCGGCGCCTTCGGTTGGGCGCTGTCGTTTGGACGGAACCAGCGATTGAACCACCATCACCAGGAGGGCGGTGAGGGTGGTCAGTGGTGAGGGTGACGAGTACGGAAAACAGTTCCATTTGGCGTCCCAGTCTCTGTCCATCTTGCGCTGTTTTGTTTGGCATTTGCATTTTCCGTGGTATTCTCGAGAGAGGTCCCCAGCCATTTGAGTCAAGCGCTCCTCTTTCCACATGCGTTCATGTCCATTCATCTCCACACATCTCCACACGGCTTTCACATAGGTCAGTCACTACATACTGGTAGCAGGCTTGTGCCTGTTCAAAAGCCTACTCCAAACCAATCGAGAACGGCCCCACCCACGAAGCGTCGAGCCGAAGGCGAGTCCAAGAAGTCTTTCTTGTGATCTTCCGTGTCCTGGCTGAAGCCTGAAGAAATGACCATCTCTGGAGCCTCCCTTTGGGGGTCCCCCCCTTAAAACAAAAGAGCTCCAGAGTCCAGAGATCAAGGGAACATCAGTATCTGTCGATTGCCTCAAGCTATCTGACTTTGGGTGACAGGGATAAGTCATTAATTGTTCTTTATATGTCTCCCCCGCAGGTCTCTTTGATACCACAAGGGAACCGATTCTTTTGGAACATCCGTTGGGACGTCCTTTATCAGTTTTTCTCTGTCTTGAAACCTATCTGCCTGCTTATGTCGTATGTTTTTTCTTACGTCATAGCTCAAGTCGTGTTGTTTGCTCCTTCTCTGGCCCAACCAAAGAGAGCCTGGCTAGTCCTGTAGTAGCTAGCAGCTCTGATCCGCACAGTCTCCATTACGCCGGAGCACCCGTCGCGCCCGTTTGTCAGGCGCCACAGGGTCTCGGGTGGCCGCAAAAAAAGCGCGGCCAGCCCGAGGCAGCCGAGGGATTCACACACTCTGGGCATGAGGACGTGCTTCATTTTGCGGTTTCGTCCATCCAGTTGATCAAAGGCGACATCTTTCGGGGAAGTCACCGGGATGACACTTCAAATCCCGCAAACCTCCACGCGTATGGACCAGCTGAATCTCAAACTCAAAACTGTCAATAAGCTGCCGCATTGTTTGTTTCACCCGGACTGACCCATCACACCATCCTGTGCACCGAGTGGTGGTGTTTGTCCCGCACCATTCCGCGGTGGTGTTTGTCCCGCTGAGGTCCTGACGCTGGAGACCTGGATGTCAGGGACCCTGACATTGGGAGACAGCCTTCCAAGCCTTGTGTCAACCCCCTCATCGATTTCCAGTACAGCGAGACAACGGGCCATGAGTTCAAAAAGAAGGCGGGATCTGGAGCAGGCGACGGAACAAAGAAAGCACCTGGAGAAATCGCAACTTGGTAAGTGGAATGAGTACCAACTTATGACCCTGATCTGTGAAACATCAAGCTGCATATTTGGGCAATGAAGAAACCTCCCCGATGGATTGGGCCCTCTAGGTGGTCAATTTCGGTCGATTCGGGGGTGTGCTGCGTCGACACTGAGATGGGAGACCGGCCAGCTAGAGTTGTCTCAAAACCTGACACCCAGCAGTACGGCACAAAGGATTATTCTGAGGCTTTTCTTGGAGCTTCACGGCGCGTACCCTCCTTACTGCCGTCCTTCGGAGGGCCACTCAAATAGGGAGACCTCCCAGGCCCCCCCCTGGAAGAAGGGGGGTTCTTTCTTTCAATCCTTTCAGAGGTCTAAGACCGCAAGCGTGAGGGCCAGAGGGTCCCCCTATATAGATACACCCTAATGACCTGAGACCTTCCAATGACCTGAGATCTTCATCGAATGACGACGGAGTGACCGGGCATCAGACTCGATGGGGCGACTGATGATGTCCACGTCACGCGTGTTAACTCGTGTTCACCGGTGATGCGTGTGTTTGCGCGAACAATTACAGGTGTGGTATCAGGATGTATCAGGGTTTTTCTGATGCGATGTTTTTTGGGATCCCAAATCGTGCACCCACAAAAGACTAAGACTATAACTCTAGCACATAAAACCTACCCACAAAGGCCTTCAACGCACCAAAAGTTGCTCAGAACATGTCAAAACATGTCAAAGCCCATACCACCAGTCAAAAATTGATCCATATCAGGCTGACCATCCCCTTTTCCTCGCCAACATCTGCTCCAGTGCCAGGCAGGCGCAAGCCTTTAAAATGGATGCGCCCTTTTGCGACACCCATCGCAGCGCGAAGTGCGCCAGCCAACGGGTGTCTGGACGTGGTCTGTCGGCCATTCACCCCACCTTGGAGGTCTATCATGATTTATTGTTTTATCGTTTCAAATCCTCAGCGGGGCAAACGGCCAGGCGGACCGCGTGCTTTTTCGATGTGCCCGTGTTTCCGCATAGCGTATCGCGACGAAACTGCCACACACCCTGCAAGGATGATACTGATGAAAGGTTCTATGAACATCTTGAAACCCGAAAATGCAAAACATTTCACAAAATCAATCACATCCTGTTGTTTCTGGCCAGAATGTTGACATCATTGGGTGGACAGCAGCCAATAGCCTTTCTTCGGCATGGCATGCCAATTAGTTCCTAAGTTGCGGCTTCATGTGCCACAGCGCCACCATCACTCTTGGGATGCGAAGCTGGTTAGCAAGCATGCTTCCATTGGGCGAGGCTTCCTTGAATAATAGAAAGTTTTTTGGGAGAGCAACTGGAGATGTACAGATCTAAAAAGAAGTGTCCCGTCACCTGGATGTGTTTTGAAAAGATCTGTGATCACGACTCACGACTGAGGAAGAAGTTTCAAGAGGTGGAACTGAGGAAGCGGATGTCCAGAAAGGAAACAAGTTCATCACCAAATACCAGGACCCTCCTGTCGGGGTGCCCTGTCTGGAACTCTATAGGTAGTGTGGGGTAGTCCAGCCAGGACACCCCGACAGGAGGGTCCTGGTATTGATCGACCCTTAACCGATCCTGCCGCACTTATTGATCGACCACCCACCACCGCTTGGGACCGGCAGGTCAATCAAACCACACCTTAAGACAGCAAGCGCGCCCATCACCAGAAAATCACCAAGCCAGGAAAGCTTGGTCAAAGATCTAAGGCTACCCGTCATAGAAGCCCCACTAACCAAATAGAACGAAACACACTGGACCTGCTCCCAAGAGAGGCTCCCTCGCTCCCTCAACAATCGCTGGTTCACCCTGTCCCTGTGGGTCTCACACAGTCAATTTGATACCTTCAACTGGTGTGCGTTTCATGTCGAGGATTGGCCTATCATGTTTCTACCGCGCCAATTCCCGCGCCGCATCCATTGGCCTACCAGCTGAGACCACCACCGCTCCCCAGGATCTTCGGTTAAAACGCACTCTCCAAGCGCAGCGTCGTCATGTGCTCGTTGCGCGCAGCGTCGGTCCAGCGCTGCGCCAGATATTCGTCCGTCGGGTGCTTCACCCGAGCCAAGAAAGGGGCCCGTCTGGCCTGAACTGGGAGCATCAGCTGCTTGGAAGGCTCGTGATACAAAGGAACATTGAAAATGCCTTGGATGACAATTTCATACAATTTCCCTCTACAACAGGGGGGCCCTGGGTGAGAGGGGAGGGTGGTACACTCCCTTTCCATCATGGAAGTGGAGTTTAAACGCCTGTTTGGTGGATTGCATGGTTATCCGAAACCGGGGCCATGCCATCCACGTTGGCCCTCCA